TAAACTGAGTTACCTTAATCTATTACCCAATAACAGAACTTCTTAGTGAAGATTTTTACTCGCACAATAGTTCCATAAAAACAGTGAAAATAAATCGTTTAGAGGAATGATCAAAGAACTATATGCGGTATATTGCATATATTTGCCCCCACAGAAGTCAAATTTTTAAAACTTTCTGAAATGTGCTGAATTCAATAAATTGTATGAGAAATACAAATCAACAGAAAAAATTATAGTGTCAAAGCAGTGTATTCACAACTTTTGTTTTTATGACGTCACAAACTAGTCCGATTTTATATCCTTTTTCAGAAAGAGGACAAAATGGACAAAATTTCAACAATTTTAGCTTTAAAATTTATAGAGCGCAAGTTTGTTCAGGAACAATATTGACATATTTCATTGATATTATCATTCTACATATTATATCAAAATATTGATCCTGAACACACATGCGCTCGGTGACTTTTACTCAAAATATCGACGAAAAATGTACATTTTTCTGTAAATTTCATAAAAAACTGAAATTTACGTCATGTTTGTGACGTCATTACGTACATATGGCGTCATTACTTATGAAAATATTCAGTGCTTTGAAGTCAGCATATACTCCCCTGTTTAAGAACTTAATTAAATATATCTCCATCAAAGTTTGATTTGGGGGGCAAATATTGGTTATTACCGAATAAAGTTCTTTAGAATAAATTATACTACTAGATTATCATTTTGTCGATATAAATTATTAATTTCGATTTTAAATACCCTTCCAAACTAGTACAAGAATCATAAATTGTACAAAGAATGTTCGATGTAAACTGGTATTGCCTCTCTCTCTATTAGACATGCAAGGCCAATTACATTAGCGTAAGGGAAGTCAGGTTCTCTGGATAGAAAATGGTGCATATGCGGAAATGAGAAGTATTACTTGGTGCGATAGAATAATCCCTTCATTTTAAACAAAAGTATTAAAGTTAATTGTGAATAAAATAATTAAAATATTTTTATACGTGTACTATGTCTTTGTCATTGATATTGTTTCTAAATTTGATTTCAATGTTTTGCAAGATAATTTGTTGTACCTTCTTTTAGAGAAAAAAATTACAAGTACTCCCACCAGACATGTATCTGATATGAAGGCTAATCGTTTCCGAATAATTATATTAATTATAGTATAAAAATGATAAAAAGAAAGAAAATTGAGTAAAACTAGTAAATTATCATACATATGCAAATTATATATTTTCTTTCTACACTTAACAATTTTAGTGGTCTATCATCTTGTCATGGAACACTGGATAAATCATCAGCATCATGACTTAACAACCTCACGGAACGCCAGCTTAACATACTCACATACAGTGTTTTTACTTATTTTAAATTGAATTATACCTATCTTTAAAGCAAATGTAAAGAACTCCAAACAAGTTAAAGATATTAAAAGCTGAATTAACCCTATCTTCAATTTAATTGGAGGTATGAACTATTGATATTAAGATAGATAAAAATATTTAAAGATTAGGTATGTGTCAGTAATTAAAATTAACATATATTCACACATCTTATTATTGTACAGGTCTATATTTTTTAAAAAGTGAACCTGTATTCAAATAAATTGAAGACAGGTGCAACAGAATAAAAGATAGATCCAAATGAAATACGGTTTGATTGATTGATTGTATATTGTTTAACGTCCCATTCGAGAATTTTTCACTAACACAAGGACCTCGCCGTATGCCAGTTAAGGGCTTCAAATTTAGACCTATACTCGGCACTCAGGGCCATTGAGCAGTGAGGGTTCTTTATTGTGCCAACGCCTACCGTGACATGAGACCTAGGTTAATAGGTAATATCAGAAAGACCCGTGCCTTTCACGTCTAGTGCCAAGGCCTGGACGAAGGAACAGTCAATACCTATGTTTACGTCTCCGGTTTGACGCGGCGCCGTGAAAGAGAATTGAACCCAGGCCTCCCGATCACGAAGCGAACGCTCTATCACTAGGCTATCGTGACCGGTCAAATGAAATAAAAAAAAAGGTTAAAATAATGACACGTCTTTAAATAATTGAACATAGTTTAAATTTATTAAACCTACCTTCATATCCATCATAACTAAATTCAATTAAATCACATTAAGGTTCAATTCAATAAAATCTTTTTTTTTATTTACTTGAAGATAGGTTAATTTCTTTTAAAGAAATATCTACAATTTATACGATGGTTGTCCGGATAAATCTTGGACAAATTCTCTAGATTGAAAAAAAATTATCACTGCGTTCTAAAACTCTCACAACGCTTTAGAACATTATTCTTCAATACATGTATATATAGCAAATTTCATATAGATATATGCATAAATAAACATTCAGTGATATTTTATGATATGTGATTATCGCCTTATGGCACACAGATCATAGCGTCATTGGAAGTGTCTGAATTATTATCACCTTTCCTCTTTGCTGAAATAATCTTCGATAAGTCCAACAAAAATTTAAGAATTAAATCGATACAAGAGGCCCAGGGGCCTTATAGGTCACCTGAGCATTATGCAACAACTTTCCAGTTACAGTGTATTGAATTTGATTCATGTTTTAAGCGGCAGCCAGATGCTATATGGCATTCACAATTTTGAAAGGGCACCATTGATAATCATAACAATAAACTTAGCAGTTGCTTAGCTTGGTTACTGAATACCCATACGCAGGGTAGGGGAACAAAAATGCACTCCAACTAATCAGTAATATTCATCAATAATCAGTAGTGCCCCTAACACTGTGACATAAACCCCTGACCCTAGGTTGCACAAATTTTTAAAAGGCACCCTTAAAATTGCCTATCAAAAAGTAAATAAATGTTTTATAAATACAAAGGACCAGATTTCAAACAATTAATTCATTTTCAGTATATAAGTAGAGCCCCCCTCCCCCTGACCCTGGGGCCTTGAAATTTACAATTCTGCAAGATTAGGGCCCTTGCTCATCATAACTATATAGGTAGTTCATCTGCTTCATACCCAGAGACAGAGAAGAAAATTTTCAAAGATTTAATGTATGTTCACTATATAATCAATACAGCCCCACCCTAACACCAGAACCCCAGACCCTAGGGCAATGAAATTCATAATTTTAGAAGAGGCATTCTTGCTCATCATAACTATGCACTTACTTAGTTTATCTAATACCTAAGAGCAGAGAAGAAGATTTTCAAAGAATTCATGTATTTTCACCATATGATCAATAGAGCCCCCCCCCAACACCAGAACCCTTGACCCTGGGGCCATAAAATTCACAATTTTGGTTGAGGCACTCTTGCTCATCATCACTATGCACTTAGTTAATTTATTTAATACCTAGGGGCAGAGAAGAAGATTTTCAAAGAAATCATGTATTTTTACTATATAATCAATAGAGCCCCACCCTAACACCAGAACCCCTGACCCTGGGGCCATAAAATTCACAATTTTGGTAGAGGCACTCTTGCTCATCATAACTATGTACTTAGTTGGTTTATTTAATACCCAGGAGCAGAGAAGAAGATTTTCAAAGAAATAATGCATTTTCACTACTTACTTATTTAGCCCCGCCCTAGCACTAGAACCCCTGACCCCAGGGCCATGAATTTCACAACTTTGGTAGAGGACTCAATGCTAATTACAATCATGCAAATAGTTTGATTGCTTGATGTCCAGGAGTAAAGAAGAAGATTTTTAAAGATTGCATTCATTTTAGTGGTTTTTGCCCCACCCCTCAGGCCCCAGGGGGGCAGGGATCATGAAATTCACAATTTTTGTTCCCCTTTACCCATAGATGCTTTGTGCCAAATTTGGTTGAAATTGGTTCAGTGGTTGCAGAGAAGAAGCTGAAAATGTTCAAATGTTAACACACGACACACGACACACAACACACGACACACGACGGACGACGGACGACGACGGACGAAAACGGATAGCAATAGGTCACCTGAGTTTACTCAGGTGACCTAAAAATACGAGCGTTTCACTCAATCTTCCACTAACAGTCTGAAAACCAATCTCGCACACACTTAGGACCTTTTGTTTATTTATTAGTAAAGTTATGGACAGTATTCATGCTATCATCCAAATAAATAGGTAATCTTATATCGAGGGTTTACAGTGAAAGTTTTGTTATTACTATAGCTGTTACAACTTTACGAAGTATTTTACATTTATCCGTATCTTAAATTCAGGATTTTTAAATCTTTTTCAAATCAGGTATACCTATTTTCAAATCGATCGTTATTAACATTATTTTTATGGTATTTGGATCAAAATATCGAACCAATATTCCATGCAGCAAAACCCTAGCCCTGTGGATGGTCCTAAAGTCAACCAACTTCATTCATACATCTAAATATTAAATAGAAATATGACAAAGAATATATTTAAAGTTATTTTGAATTCATACACTTCCTTCAAAAATATAAAAGAAAAATGTTTGATGATAGATACATGCCCACTGCAAACAAAATATTGAAGAAATTAATTTTTGACTTCGGTGTATGTTAATTAATATTTATCATAGCTTAACAAATTAGGGGCAAATACATGCATTTTACGTATTAAAAATAAATCTATAAGGAAACAATTTGAAATTTGAAAATGTTTATCAAAAGCAAATAATATTTCCCCTCGATGGCCTTATACATATCGAAACTAGAAAATCCATGACGTGTTTTTATTTCATGAGTACCATCGACGTCAAGGTCTCGTAAGGTTATTTATATCAAGCACTAAAAATGACTAATGACAAAAACAATTAAAAACTGCATGTCCATTGCTTTGGACATAGGAGACGTAAAAAAAGTCTTTTAAAATAAGCTAAAATATCTAGCACTACGTACAACGCATCTACTAGAATCTTTACTAAAATCTATTCATTGAAGTTTAATATTTTGATTTTTTTTTATGTAGATACCTAATTAATTTGAAGTATTCAACACTTACTTACAAATTTATTGCATTATTATCCTAAATTTAATGTTCATTACCTGTGTTTAGAATGTAAATCCTTTTTAACACCGTGATGAAATGCGCCTTACTGTTTGCAAGTTTTATATTTCAATGGCTGATCTCTGCGCATGCTACAGTTTAAACGAAAATCAGAACAAGGAATTGAAAGGGGGAAATGCAGTTCACATGATTGATTTAAATTGTTTTAAACCAAAATAGCCGTAAACAAAACTCTTTTATTCTAAGATTAAATGAACAGGAAAACAAACTGAAAGCACCATTCACTGATATGAAACTGAGATTATCTCATTCTTTTCTTTTTTTCTTTATATACTTAAATGTCTTTTTCTTGACCCTTGACTGTAATTGTTGTTTGTATATATGTAGCAAATGTACCAATGATCTGGTTTTGATCGAATATAAAGAACTGAATTGAATTGAAACTATGAATTCGATTGTTTTAAAAAGACATATCACACTAAGTATAGATTAATCAAACAAGTATAAGGCGGTATCAAAAAGTTCGTGGAACTAGCGCCATGTAATTAAAACCGCTTTAGGCACATCAATAAATTTTAAAACAACTAGTAAGCATCATCTTTTCTATCTATAGAATAAATTACAAATCATAAATTTCATTTTTTGATAAATTAGTAATGTTTTATGCAAACAATGGTATGTCCAGGCGGTGCAACCTCGAACACGACGTTTTTTCGGACCCAAACGTAACTGAGAAAAACTCTTTTGATATGAGCATTTGACATCCAAAAATCCCTTTAATTCAGGTATGTGTTGGGACACTATTTTTTCATAAAAATAAGAAACTCTTTTAACCTCATTCTGGAAGTTCTATAAAATTTTTATGGTAAATTTTACATTTAGTGTCCAAACAAATAAGGCCTTATAATGACGTCAAAAAGGAGGAGGGTTTCCTTTTTTAACATTCTATAAATGTTTGCCTGTGAAAAACTTATAGACCTAGGAATTTTTTTTAATGCCAAGATTCACAGAGAAAAGGGAAGCTCAGTTAATATCGGTTTGTAGTCAAGGTATGAAAAATAAATTCCGTCAAAACACGTCAAAAATGATGTAGATATTGAACTCTAAAATGCAAAATATGCTGGAACAATCAAGCGATGATCTCTCCAACTTGAAATTAATTTTTTTTTTTTTTAATTAAAATTGAAATGGGTGGACAAGGCGGGCAGAATGCCTATATGGTCAGATATGAAGAAATCATATTCGATATGAGAATTGAATACTGTAAATCGTTTTAATTCCACGGTGTTAAAATTTCACGATTTCTCAAAAACTATCAATCGCAATGGTTTTAATTTCACGCTGCATGGAATTATTTTAGATTTCACATTAGCATTTAAACGTTTTTAAAACTAATAATAGGTTTCACAATGGGTTTAATTTCGTGGAAAAATTATAAATCGCGATCATAGTGAAATTAAAACCATCGTGATTATTTGCCAATCTAAAGTATTTAAATGAACTTCTCATTATGGCAATTTATGAAATTATGAGAAAAAAACTTTTCTTAGAGAAAAAAAATATCTATAAAATATGTTTCTTTTATAAAAATAGTTGATGGTATTCGTGGGATTCGAACCCTATAGCAACAAAAATCCGACGAATCAAACTGCTTTGAGACGAACGCGCTATAACAAAACAAAAAAGCTAAAGTTTACTATAGTTTACTATAGTTAACTATAGTAAACAGGGTAAATCAAAGAGTCAAAGTTTTTGCCAAAGTTTTTCAAAGTTGCGAAGATTTGCTTAAGTTTTCCAAAGTTGCGAATGTTTTGCTTAAGTTTTTCATAGTGTCAAAGTTTTCCAAAGTGTTAAAGTTTTTGATTAAGTTTTTCAAAGTGTTAAAGTTTTCGATAAAGTTTTTCAAAGTGTCAAAGTTTTCGATAGAATTTTTCAAAGTGTCAAAGTTTTCGATAAAGTTTTTCAAAGTGTCAAAGATTTCGATAAAGTTTTTCATAGTGTTAAAGTTTTTGATAAAGTTCTTCAAAGTGTTAAATATTTTGATAAATTTTTCCGAATGTCAAAGTTTTCGCCAAAGTTTTTCAAAGTGTCAAAGTTTTCGCCAAAGTTTTTCAAAGTGTCAAAGTTTTCGTCAACTATTAAACTATAGTATTTTTTTAGGGATAACCACTATGCTATATGGCTCATGATGATTGTGGGTATTTAAATCATGTTTGTGATATGCCCCTTGACTTAACGCACTTATAGTATTTCTCGGAAATTGCGAATGTTTTGCCATAAAAGTGTACTTTTAAGGTATAGTGGGTCTTTGCTCCAAGTTTTTGTAAACCAAAAATCGTTTATTTTATTGCAAACTTTTAGGATTATCTTTCAAAAAAATGGAGCGAAGACCCACTCATATTAAAACAAAATGTTAAAGTTTGAAAAATTTATCGTTTTAGTGTGTGTGTGCTTTTCCATAGGCATATATTTTTAATTTTTTGTGGAATTTTTATAAATTGTAGAAATTTTACATTTAGTATACTTTAGAATTAGATGAAATATCAAATAAAATTTTGATATAATTGAAATTTAATTTTTCACTTCTTATCTTTCGATCTATAGGCACTTTGCCCGCCTTATCCCCCAATCTTCTTTTGAAAGCACAGACTATATTGTACTTGTTTCATAGCCTTAGTCCACAAAATTTTGATAACCCCTCGTAATTACATGTGCAAATTTTCTAATTTGCATAAGAGTTTCAGTTATTTTATCTCTGTAATAGCTGCATCTATAACTCCTATACTGAAAAACAAAGAGAAGTTTTAGATTAACGTCTGCATGAATAACCCTACAAAGTAGAAATAATTCCTTTAAATATTGCATTATTGATATTTACATCAGTGTATGTTGAATTGATGGAAAAGGTACTGGTCAAGAAATCTATGCATGCGGTTTGCAAATCTCCGTTGACAGATACATAGTAAACGGCCCCAATATTCATCAGAAAATGAATAAAAGACACCACATTCAGTGAATGTAAATATTCGATATCGAATTAAACACAAAATAAATGATAGGACACTTACATTCAAGCATAAATTATATTGTTGAAAAATCATCACTGTTTTATTTTATCTATTAGTTATGAGTTTTTAAACATGGAATATTTATAACGAATGAATATTGCCCCCTTTACTTTCTAAAATAAAAAAAAAATGTTCGTTTGTCACTTGTAGTTCATTTACTGGAGTATTTTAGATTGTCTGCATGAAATATTTTTAAGAAGAAGGTTCCTCCATTATTGTAGTGTAAGGGTTAATTGCACAGTATTCTATTACTTAAAACCAATTTAATCTATGTTTATACGTAATTAATTCATAATAGGAAACATATATATTATATGACAATTTTATAAATTGTTTCTCACCTTGAAAAATTCATTGTCACCGGAAAAAGTCTCTATTTTGTTCTTTTATTCTCATTCTTTTTTTGAGGGGGAGGGGGCAAATTTTATTTCTAGTGATGTTTCAAAATTCTACTGTAATGTTGCTTTTGTGATACTTTTTGGACTCTTGATCTGTTATTGCAAAGAGGACTGTTCATATTTCATAACAACATTGTGTAAATATCTTTTTTTCATCTCCAAAGGTCAAAGAGTCATAAAATTTGTATATTTTCAACGGGTTTTTAAAAAGTTCGTGGACTGACAAGATAAAATCAAAACTGCTTAAGGTACATACATGTACATCAATGAATTTACAATAATTCATCAGTTTTATCTTTATTCATTTTTTTTTTTTAATACAAATTATTGATGATTTTATAAGCAATGGTATGTCCAGGAGTCGCAACCTCGAAGATGACGTGTTTTCTACTAGAGTGTAACGAAAAATAGAACACTTTTGATATAAACATCTGTCATCCAAAGAGCACATTATTTCACTCATTTGATAAGATACAATTGTTTGATTCAATTTGCAATTTTTACCTTATTGTGTTGGTTTTCAGAAATTTTCAAGGTTTTTGAAAATAAAATTCCTAAACAATTAAGATACTCAATGACATCAACTTGGGGGTAGGGGTTTCGTTTTCCAAACATTTTATAAAGTTTCATCCCTTGAAAAATTGGCATTGGTGTAAGAAATGTCTAAACGGGCTACAGAAAAAAATAAAATACATCCAGATTACTTGCTTTTAATGCTAAAAAAGATAAAAGGATGAAAGATGCATTAATTAATGTCGATTTGTAATCAGGGAGGTCAAATTCTGTCAATTCGAAGAAGTGACATTCATTTTGCTTGACAGGCATTGAACTCCTAAAATCAAGTTATGCTGTTATTAACAAGTTAGATTTTTTTCACTATGTATAGGTCCATCTTACAGTATTATGCATTGAAGTCAGCTGTTTTTGCCATTGTGAGGTCATATATAAACAAGACGGGTTTGAGTCTTATATCACCGAGCAAAATTAACATTTTTGAATTAAAATAACTTTTATCTGTGAAATTCTCTATCTAGATCTGTTTTTCATATGTGCTTATTTGTAGTAAGTTGTGTCTTATTTATATCATTACCTTTGAAATAGGATTAAGACATTCAAATTGACACTCTGTGACTCTGTCGAAATCACTGTTGCTCGTTAGGTGTTAATGCCTCGGGATTTGTTAATCCTTTACCAATAACTTTATTTGTATAATTTCTTATAACCTCTTTCATGTTCATTCTATCAAAGAAACACACCTGTCCATCAATTAACTCAACTAGTGTCAAAAGTCAACTATTGTTCACTCTTAATCTTACAAATATCTATGTCCATTATTAATCTCGTCAGCTTGGAGGCCCGACGCTCTACCGGCCACATCCAACTCGATTAAGTCTCTAAGATATTGTAAAAATTCATGTTTGTTATTTACCATCGTCTTTCATAAATTTGGAACCTGATTTCCCAATTCTTGGACTTTATATTGGAAGATCATAAGGAATACGACACCTTTACCCTTTACGTTTTATTACGGCCCACAGCGCCACTACTTTGTTAGACCCGCCAACATTCCTTCTTCCCCGTTAACACAAAACAACGGATTTAGCCCAGGAATTACTTATACAACTTATGACCAAAAA